TTGACGCCACAATTTCTTGCTGGAGCCCGAGTTCTACTCGTGATTTTATTGCGTTCAAAACTGTTCCATTTCAAACTGCGCATGCACACACACTGTGGTTTCTCGAAATGCATACTAATTAGGTAACTTGTCACTGATAAAAGTCACCGAAAACATTTTGAGCAATTTTGAGCAATAGTACTAGAGTGAAATATAAACGTGCCTCTGCATTCTCCATTAATTTCGTAACTTGTTATGATCATGGTAAAGAGAAAACATGTGCTTACTTTCAACAGTTAGCTGGAGTCCGATCGAAAACGTGTCTCAAAAAATACCTTTACATCATTTTTCCGAATATTTTTTTCAGCTCGTAACGATAGAATCAGTCAATTTAGAACTAACATGTATGCTATCGGAAAGCATTTTGGCACGATTTTACTGAAAAGACGAGTTTTTCATTGCTCATGAATATTAATTTATGCAAATAAGACGATTATTTCAACCAATCGTGTCATGCAACTCCCCCACTGCCATCAACAATATTTATTTCATATCTGGACAAGTCGCAATTTGATTAAAATCTGATGTAGTGTACGGGCTTTAACTATTTTAGCTATAAACTTATTTTTATTTATGTTTTATTACTTTGGTTATTAATGCCTTTTTATTTTATTATTTTACTTTGATTTTGATTTTGTGATTTTTTATTGGCTTTCGCAATTACCAAAACTTTAAAAAAATAAATACTTGATCAAAATAAAATAAAATAAATATACAAAAAAAGAAGCCAAAACTCGGATCTTATTTTAATCATATTGGACAAGTCGGTGTAAAAGTACATTATGCGACAAGATAGGAGAAATGGACCCGCAACAAGATAACCCAGAGAATTTGAAAGCATTTACCACATGTTACAAGTTATAATAGCTACATGCGTGTGTGCGACAATTATCAATATCGTGATTGTGCGTTTGTTTTTTACTGTTTACAAAGGCTTTACATCATTACATGCAAATAAGATAAAGTGTGAAGAGGTAGCCCGATTCAAACGTCACTCCACAATGCCTCTATAGCTGTGGTCATTCAATTGGTAACTCGGCCTTCAAAGTATTGTTTGGATTCATTTAGTTGTGTTTTTTGCGTATCGCATAATTTTATACTTTAAGTACTTATAGAATCATTTATATTCTAAATTTTAAAAACGAACTATAGATACTGGTGAAAACTATGGACTTGTGACGTTTAACACGTACATCGATAGAGGGGGCTATTCACAACTAGGTTCCAAAATGGCAGATGCAGCTTGATTGTGCTTGTTGCCGTATCTCGTGATCATTCGATATTTGTGACCCATTGCGGTGAGTAAAACTAGATTTCATCTTCGCATTACGAATTCCACAAGTTGGTATATAATTACTGTAGTCAACAGTTGATAGATTCAACGTAACGCCCGTATTCTATTGTCAACAGTCGTCTTGTCTTGTATTCATTCATTCGCCGCGAAACGGTGTTGGCTGTGTTGTAACGTTATCATTTCGATATCAGAAAACATAGTATGGTTTAAAACCGATTAAAGTGATGCACGAGCCATCGTATATATGTCAATCGGATATTTATCAGTCTGAAACTGTCTAGTATTCGATCGAATGTAACGATATAATTTATTAGAGTAAGTGGCATCCGTGATGATGTAGGCTAGTGTGTTGGACGACAATAAGATATTCATTGTTATCACCGACTTTAACAGCAAAGTTAAAACACAACAGACAATTAAATTATCTAGACAGAGGAGAGCTGTATTCATCTAAATCCCAGTCTCAGAAGAGTGTATAAACGTTATACTATTGTCATTTTCAGCTATTTGTGTCTAGGCTTGAAGTTGAATATTTAATTTTCACGTCACTGTGTGCAAAAACCTTATGAATAAAACGCAGACACTCGGTGTGTATGACCATGGAGGTAGAACAGTATTTCCATTCAACAAAAAAGTTTCACCATGACAACAATTGTTAAAATATGCATAATACATACTACGCTATATTTTTCTTGAAAAATTGCTATGATTGCTAAAGTTTTTCTTGAATGTAACCATGGTTCCCTATGAATGCCCAACGTGCAATTAATTTTTTACTTATTGAATGTGGTGCCAATGTTCTAGTATTCTACTTCCATATATTTTTTTTATATTGCGTCGATTGCTTCTGCAGGGAATGAATCATCTCATTCGCATAAATGATGATTGTCTTTAATCAATAGGATTAGAATTAATTTAGAATTTAAATTTATTCACCGTAAGTATTTAATACCCACCATTAGTAATTCTAAGGCACATATAAAGTCAAGCAATAACAATGACACAAGTCAAATTACATTCCTAATTCTTTTTCAATACAAGATGTGAGAACATAGTTTGCCAAATTTACAAATTCTGTTACAAGTGCTGTAAACATTTTTCTATTGTATCCTGGTAGCTATAACAAAAAACCCTAGCACCTTTGCTATAATATTGCTTTAGCATTCAAACAAGTACCAATTTAATTCCTGTATTTTTGAACATAATAAACCAATCAGATTTAAATTGTAGATGTCAGTGATGTTTTTAATTTCACTCGCCTCTTACTACATCTAACCAAATTGCATTTAGTTGATATACTATATTATTTTTTTTATGTAAAAGGCACTCAAACTTTTCAAATTGTGAGTACATGTTGTATATCTAAACTTTATGATACATGTATTATTAACAAATGTATAGAAGGTTGGTTCCTGAAATAAGGAAGCGATGCGAGTCAGTAGTATGTTAGATGACAACAGGTTTATTACACACTACATACATATACCATTGACACGATACAGCCAATTTGATACAGGAAACTGCCCGGGATATGTCCGGGTGGCACTTAAATAGCCGTCAAGTTCAGCTGGGAAAGTTTCAGATTACATTAGCTATGAAAGGTACCATGGTGATTGGATAAAAGAAATGATAGCTGATTGGGCAAAATTAACTATATCGGATTGGCTGACACCAAGCTCGATGCTAAAACAGTCTCCGACAACAACAGTTAATACACATGTATATATTAAGACATGTACAAATATGTTAAGATGATTGGTTAACCATCAGTAGTCACCATAACTAATGATTGACCATTTTAATTCTCTTTACAGACACAACTGACCTGTGATCTACTCGACTACAGCTTACTACAAAACCATCAGTACATCATCAAGATCATGGCATCCAAAAGTCAAAAAATCCATCCCTGCTTGCACTGTGGTAAGAACTTTGTGGGTAAAAAGTATCTATTAGGACATATGAGAATTCACACCGGAGAAAAACTTGACGAGTGTGAAATATGTGGAAAGAGTTACACATGGAAAAGTAGCTTAGTAAGCCATATGAAGAAACACACTAATGAAAAACCATACAAATGTACAAAATGTAGCAAGAGCTTTGATTCACAAGATATCCAAGAAGCCCATATAAGAATGCACATTGGAGTGGAACCATATCAGTGTCAGTTGTGTGCCAGGGGTTTCACTCAAAAGAGTAACTTGAAACTCCACATGCGAACACATACTGGTGAGAAACCATACAAGTGTGAACTTTGTGGAAAAGAATGTGCCTTGAAAAGTAACTTGGCTATCCATATGAGAACTCATAATACTGCTCCTAAGGAGTCGTATGCAGTGATGCCAATTACAGATGCATTCACCACCTATGTTCATGACATCAATGCTACACAGCTGTTGACCAAGAAGGCATTTCAGTGTGGAATATGCGGTGAGGGCTTTTCTAACAAATGTGCTTTTGACTATCACCGTAAATCTCACCCCAGCAAAGAACAGACATTCAAGCAACTGAGAATTGAAGTGATGAAAAACATCATCGATGATCACATGAAAACGGCACCAGCCGAGTCGGACATCAAGCGTTATTTCTGTAAGGAATGTGGGGAAGGTTTCTCCCATAAATGTGGGCTGGGCTTGCATGTGGTAACTCACAGGGATCAGAGAAGACAGCAAAAACGATTAAAGAAAAAGTTTGGAATAAGTGAAATAACAGCTGAGCATCAAAAGTATATAGAGCAGTTTAAAAGTCATGTGAAAAAAGTGGGTAAAAAACGCCTACTATGTGAATTGTGTGGGAAAAGTTTCAACAAAGAAGAAACTTTCCAGGCCCATATATTCAAAGTGCATGATGATTCATATCAGACAGCACCATCAGAAGATGATGGGTCATATCACAATCAGGAAGGAAGTTATAGTGTTCTATATCCTACTGATGGGGTCTATATCAATGGTCAATATCCCACTGAAGATGCAAGTGAGCCATATCCTACTAATTTAATTCCAAGCTCTGTTTGTGTGCCTGATTTTGGCCATTTTATAAACTGTGATTCCGGTTACCATTCAGCTCACAACACTGTCAAACGACCAGTAGAAACTGTGTCAGTGCCTTCTGTAGGTAATGCTGAGAAATTGGATACAACTTCAGCTGAAATTGAAGAATATAACATATTCCGAATAAAGTTCAAATTTTAGACAAATGTATTTAAAAACCAACTGACCCTTTGCACACAAATTGACCAAATGACTGGTACATTATGAATATTTTATGAATATTTACTTTGATCTAGGTATTGTAATTTATCTAATATTGACTTGCAATAACTGTCAGGGTTTCTATTGTTCAGTTTTAGATAATATTGAAAAACTGCAATATAAATTAATGAATACATAATAATCATGTAATGGCTTTCACTGTCAAGAAATTCGTATTTTAATACAATTAGATTTGAGCGAATGTAATCATGTAATGTTGAAAAGTTAATTGACTGTTAAAAATGTGTGTTCATCAGTAAATATAGTAATTTTACTAGAATAGATAGACAATGCACAAACAACTAAATTTTTTTTCAACAAGACAGAATCATGTTTTGTATGACAGTATTTTGGTGATTATCAGCTCTATGAAATCTTTACATGTATTATCAATATTTTACTGTTTCTTTGAGTGTGTTGACTGTGTTGTTTAGTCGAATATTATGAATATGTGTTCTTGGAGATAGACATCATATGATGATTGCGGATTTGGAAAGGGGTCAATCCAGAGTTTTATTTATCTAGTACATTTCTCTGAAAAAAAATGATGACATTATGAAAAAACTCACAATTTACAAAGATTTGCTAAAGTGTTTTCATATTTGTACCATTTGTATTAAATGTGTTAGTAAGCTCGCTTTTTATTTGCAAGAAATAAACATGCAGGAATGAATTATTTCCTTGAAAAACTGTAACTAAATTATGTAATTTGTGTATTTAAGTACTAAGTTATTTAAATCATGATTAAAATTGTATTGTGAAGTTAAGAATTTTGCACTGTGTATCTCTGTTTAATCCTTTCAAATTGTTACTTAGTGACTTTAACCCAAATGTGGTCAAGTCAATATAGGAGTACATGCGACTGATGAGGTTATTGAACGATGCAATAATATCAACTAGTGATTTAGGAAATGATATCTGGAATCAAATATATTGCTACTTCAAAAAATGAAGTCCTATTTGTGAATGACTGAAGGAGGTATGTACTCGGGCAAATAAAACCACACATGTTATATATTGTAATCTGGGTGTAGTGACACTGCATGGTATACTCATAAACTTTGCAAATGCCATTATAGACCGTTTGTTAGTCTGTGGTTGTCAACATTTTGTTGTATACTGTAAAAGCAGTAATTTTTTTACTTGTTAAAGATAAATAGTTTTACAGAATTAAATTGTACCCATGTACAAAAGCGTATGTACTACTAGTAGAGTGAATGTGGCTCAACACAGAGAAAACCTTGCACTAGATGGTAAAGTGGAGGGTGAGAAGACAGGTGTGTTTCCCGATGCCATGCGCTGAATTCCCAAGGACTGAGAGCTACATGAAGCCACAGACACGTACATCAGGTGGGTCTGAGACTGGTAAACTTGAGTGCACGGGGGTGAATTCATGATAAACGAGAGCTATAGGGTAAATTAGAGGTAGGTGAAGGTAGGTCTTAGACTGGTAAATTTGGGTGAATTCTTAAGAAACAAGCACTATAGGTTGAGTTCCCA